ATATTTGGAAAGTCCGTCTTTCATGACTCGTGTAATAAATATCCTTCTTGACGCATGACAAATATTGCGCTACAATTTTATTTTGACATACTTTATTTTGTACAATTTCATTTTGACAAACAGCATTTCACGTGTCGTGCAATATCATTCTTGACGCATGACAAATATTGCGCTACAATTTTATTTTGACAAACAGCATTACACGTGTCGTGCGATATCATTCCTGACGCGATTATATAGCGCTATAAAATCACTATATAGTGCTATAAAAATCATTATATAGTGCTATAAAAATCATTATATAGCGCTATAAAAAATCATTATATAGCGCTATAAAAAATCATTACATAGCGCCATAAAAAATCATTACATAGCGCCATAAAAAATCATTATATAGCGCTATAAAAAATCATTATATAGCGCTATAAAAAATCATTACATAGCGCCATAAAAAATCATTACATAGCGCCATAAAAAATCATTATATAGCGCTATAAAAAATCATTATATAGCGCTATAAAAAATCATTACATAGCGCCATAAAAAATCATTACATAGCGCCATAAAAAATCATTATATAGCGCTATAAAAAATCATTACATAGCGCCATAAAAANATATCCTTCTTGACGCATGACAAATATTACGCTACAACTTACTTTATTTTGTACAATTTTATTTTGACAAACAGCATTACACGTGTCGTGTTATATCCTTCTTGACGCATGACAAATATTACGCTACAACTTACTTTATTTTGTACAATTTTATTTTGACAAACAGCATTACACGTGTCGTGTTATATCCTTCTTGACGCATGACAAATATTACGCTACAACTTACTTTATTTTGTACAATTTTATTTTGACAAACAGCATTACACGTGTCGTGTTATATCCTTCTTGACGCATGACAAATATTACGCTACAACTTACTTTATTTTGTACAATTTTATTTTGACAAACAGCATTACACGTCTCGTGCAATATCCTTCTTGACGCATGACAAATATTGCGCTACAATTTTATTTTGACAAACAGCATTACACGTGTCGTGCAATATCCTTCTTGACGCATGACAAATATTGCGCTACAATTTTATTTTGACATACTTTATTTTGTACAATTTTATTTTGACATACTTTATTTTGTACAATTTTATTTTGACAAACAGCATTACACGTGTCGTGCAATATCATTCCTGACGCGATTATATAGCGCTATAAAAATTTCTACCAACAATCCACGGGAGCTGAAACTGCCTCGCCATTAGCTGACCTGCTTTACACAGTGATCGACTGTCACTCTGAGCGTCCGTCTATTTCTGTCTAGTCTGTAATCAGCGAACTGTCAAACGTCCTGATTGGTCGACCGTGCGAGTGACGTCACTCGGCAAACGACAGGAAAATCTTCATGGTTTTGAATATACATGCATCTTCCTGTACAGCTGTTTCGAATATACATATATCTTCTTGTACAGCTGTTTCGAATATATGTACATCTTCCTGTACAGCTGTTTAAAATCGTTCTGTACAGCTTTTTTGAATATACATATATCTTCTTGTACAGCTGTTTCGAATATATGTACATCTTCCTGTACAGCTGTTTCGAATATACATATATCTTCTTGTACAGCTGTTTCGAATCTTTCTGTACAGCTGTTTTGAACATACATACATCTTTCTGTACAGCTGTTTCGAATATTCATGCATCTTCCTGTACAGCTGTTTTGAATATACATACATCTTCCTGTACAGCTGTTCTAAATATACATACATCTTCTTGTACAGCTTTTTTGAACATACATACATCTTCCCGTACAGCTGTTTCGAATAAACATATATCTTCCTGTGCAGCTGTTTCGAATATACATATATCTTCCTGTACAGCTGTTTCGAATATTCATATATCTTGATGTACAGCTGTTTTGAACACACATACATCTTCCTGTACAGCTGTTTCGAATATTCCTATATCTTGATGTACAGCTGTTTCGAATATACATACATCTTCCTGTACAGCTGTTTCGAATATACATATGTACATCTTCCTGTACAGCTGTTCTGAATATACATACATCTTCCTGTACAGCTGTTTCGAATATATATATATATCTTCCTGTCCAGCTGTTTCGAATTTTTCTGTACAGCTGTTTTGAACATACATACATCTTCCTTTACAGCTGTTTCGAATATTCATATATCTTGATGTACAGCTGTTTCGAACATACATATGTACATCTTCCTGTACAGCTGTTTCGAATATACATACATCTTCGTGTACAGCTGTTTCGAATATACAGGGTGAACCAGAATTAACTGACCCTTTTAATTTGTTAATAAATAAAAACACTAAGAACGTTATGAAGTTGAAACATGTTTTATTTAAAAGAAGAACATTTTTATGGTAATATTGTATCCTAGTTTTTAGGATACAATAACTAACTAGGATACAATATTACATACAATATTTTAACTAGGATACAATATTACCATAAAAATGTTCTTCTTTTAAATAAAACAAGTTTCAACTTCATAACGTTGTTATTTTTTTATTTATTAACAAATTAAAAGGGTCAGTTAATTCTGGTTCACCCTGTACATATATCTTCCCGCACAGCTGTTTCACAATATTTTCTGACAGCTCTTTACAATGTAAGAAACGAGTGCATTTGTGCACTACCTATATATGTCAACTCGTATTTACGCCTCATTTTGAAGTATGAAAGTGCGATTACAGACTGAAGTGTTATATTAATTGTATTTCTTGCAGACAAATTATTGTATCGTGCAGACAATTTATTGTATTTCGTGTAGATAATTTATTGTATTTGATGAGTCCAGTAGAAGTGGACTGGCAAGTCTAGTAGAGGTAGACTGGAAATTCTAGTAGAAATTACTTCTACTGGTAAATCCAGTAGAAGTAAACTGGTAAGTCCAGTAGAAGTAAACTGGTAAGTCCAGTAGAAGTAGACTAGTAAGTCCATTATTGGTAGACTGGTAAATCCAGTAGAGGTAGACGGCTAAGTCCAGTAGAGGTAGACTATTAAGTCCAGTAGAGGTAGACTGGTAAGTCCAGTAGAGGTAGACTGGTAAGTCCAGTAGAGGTAGACTGNTGTGGGCGTTACCCTCGCGGCAACCCTCTACTGACTCAACAAGTCCGCGTTATTTAAAAATGAAAAACACTTTCACTTGTTTGGCTTGTTCATTCAATTTGCACTCTCTTTTACTGACTTCACTGAACTGAACTGAAATTCGGTTATTCTCTGGCACGGATCATAAAAAAAAATGCGAAAAGAGTTCCGAAAACGGCACAGTAAAGGTTAAAAATTTAGAAATTTGGGACCACGAGCACGAGCGTCCGCTCTCGACCACGGCTTAATGGAGACTCCAACGGCTTAATGGAGACTGAAGGGAAAGGGAAATTGAAGGGAAACAAAAATTATATGAAGTAATTAGCGATAAGGTAGTAAACTATTAAATTAAATAAGCTTTTTACCTATCCCTAAAGTGCCAATGATTTGCAAAAAAATTTATGAGATGCTTTTTTGTATTTTGTAATTAGCTTAGTCTAGCTTGAATATCAAATAATTCATTTTATACCTGCCTCCACCAAGAAATATATAGTCTCTGCAAGAATAACCGTTTTCTAGGGCAACGTCAGAAAAAACTTGATTTGAGTTGGTAAACTTCTCTATTTATCATATCGGGAATTAACTTTATACATTATTTTAGGCCGTTTTCGGCGTGATGTACACTGCACATTTATTGTAAAAACGCTATTTTAACTCTTGATTCTGAAAATTTTTATTGATCAACAAGTACACGTGAATTTGTGAAATTAGAATTGATAGAAAATCATGATATGATTGTGATTTGTGACATATGAGTGCACCGATATAATTTAGACTGATTTCTACGACATTCATTCGATACATTCTGTTCTTGGGAATTATTTGGACTATTTGTAGCCATTACTTAATAAAATTTGTGCGTTAATTTGGGACGGCTGTTCACGATTTATTTATATAGTGATTTGTTCTATGTTGAGCAACAAACTATTTTACAATCAGCCAAGTTGTGAAAAATCCACTCTAATAACTAACCCACTCTTACATCTGACCCACTCTTACATCTGACCCACTCTTACATACATCTGACCCACTCTTACATCTGACCCCCACTCATACATCTGACCCACTCTTGCATCTGACCCACTCTTACATCTGACCCACTCTTACATCTGACCCACTCTTACATCAGACCCACTCTAACATCTGACCCACTCTTACATCAGACCCACTCTTACATCTGACCCACTCTTACATCTGACCCACTCTTACATCTGACCCACTCTTACATCTGTCCACTCTTACGTCTTACTCCTTATAAGAACAGATTCTTTTTATTAAAGAGTCATATTTACTTTTTTTCTAGGTACGGTATTCTTAGCTTCAAAAGCTGATTGAGCTTCAATACTCTACTTTACTACAGACAACTGATAACAATACCATATTGATAGATTACCATCTGATGAGAATGGCTTCGATTTTTTCATCCTGCAAAATAGATGAAATCTCTCTGTATTGTAGGAGTCTTAACTGTGCTCCAAAACTTGTCTAGTTCAGAATATGCAATTTATTCGTACATTGTAACCTTACGGAAATTTGCTAATTTCCATAATTAATTTGCTAATTTCAGTAATTAATCTGCTAATTTCCGTAATTAATTTGCTAATTTCCGTAATTAATTTGCTAATTTGGGTAATTAATTGCTAATTTGCGTAATTAAATTGGTAATATCCGTAATTAATTTGCCAATTTACGTGATTAATTTGCCAATTTCCGTAATTAATTTGTCAGTTTATGTAATTAATTTTTAATTAAATTATATAATTTCGAAAAGTTTAAAGTCTTGTGTACTATTTATACAGCAAAAACTGTAACACCTGCACAAATGTAATGCCGACATTTCGTTAGAAAAGGATTAAAATAAAAATCCAATAGTCGATGCAATTTTATTCGTTGTGTAGCAACAAAACTAAAAAGGAGGGAACTACTTCGATAAAGACTTTCGTTCGTTGTGTAAGATCCAAAACTTGGGTTAGTAAAAAATCGAAACGTTAATATGTTACTCTTTCTAAGTTTCTATCTGGATGTAAACTAAAAATTTATGAATATCGAGAAAAAATGGGTTTGTGAATGATCAGGGATTTTTTTCAGGTAGACTATCTAGAATTATACATTTTGAATTCTAAATCCTAATTGAATTTTGTTTTATAAAGTTTCAAAAAGACTTACAACAAGGCCTACCAACTGCTCCGCCTTGGTGGCTTTTACACGAAAACCTTTCCAATCGTTTACTGATATGTTTATAATTTCGACTGAAGCTCTTTCTAACCTTTTAAGATATGTTTTATCATCTTAGCTGAACATTATTACCGTTTGATCGTAGCCTAATATTCTGGAAGACCCAAAACAAGATAAACTTTACTGTCATTTCGTAAAATGACATCGGAGAAAGATATGAGCATAAACTTGTACAAAATAAGAGACCTGCGAGTTAAGCAAGCATCTTCTTATGTAGATGTTTAATAGCCGTCGAGAATTTAAATGACTGATATTAGCCAGAATAAAGTCGTATTTATTTAGCTGCAAGTTAAATAAACATGCTATATCACGTCGTGAACATCATCCAAATGAATAGTTACTAAACGTGTTCTGTATTAATAATTATTCTAAAATTAATATTATAAATTTGAAAGCTGACTGAAATATTTTCGAATACAAGCCTTGGCGGTTCAATGGTTGCAGTTGCTCGGCCTGTTGCTCAGTTTTACAACCTACATTACAAAATTCTAGAAATTTCGTAAATTTCTTAGTTACTGATTTGATTCAAAGAAAATATTTTTATAGTAAGATAAAGGAAGAGGTTGACAAAATTAAGAGGTTGTTTCCTGAGGTACGAAACATGTTGTTTATAATTAAAATTGGTGAACCTAGGTCATCAAATCGTCGGTTATCAGCTAAGTAAAGCAAAAAGTCGTAGCAATGAAAATTCTATAGAAAATGTTTCAAAAATTAGCGTAGGATTGTCGTTAGCGATGCTGGATTTTATAAGAAGCAAAATCAATGTGTAACAATGATTTGATTAAATGAACAAAAATGAAATAAATGGGTGTCAGAGTTGGTTATTGGCTGTCGCTGATTCTTAACTGCGCGACTACCTATCCGGTTTCCACCAGATTTTTCACAACCATTAGTTGTTTCGAACCTCCACTTTTTGCTCCAATCTTTGAGTACAAAGTTTAGTCTTAAATTTACATACGTTGAGGTCTCTCATGAAATCTGTTTAACAAGAATAATGAAATGCTGTTGCAATGTCATTCCATTGCTGTTTACTTCGATTTATCTGATAAGGCCTCTGTAAGCTAGGAGTTGAATGAAGATACTCTTCGCGGCTAACCAGCTTTGTCGGAGACACTTATCGAGAACACGCGATCGAACGTTGCAAAGTATTTTTAATTAATATTGACGCGTCCCATCTGAGTCTTGATTTACGCCAAAACGGGATCCGTTTTCACTTTTTTCCTTTTCTTGAGACTGGACGTAGCCAAAGGAGGCTCTATCCCACTTTCGTCCAGTGGGTGAACAGCAGAAGCTTGTAGATTCGACCCTGCAAGCACCGTGCCGGCGACTTGCTCCAATGGACCTCGAGGTCTCAGCTTTGGCGATGTGACGCTTCGTGGGAATTCATCAGATTCGTTGAAACCTATAGCAGAATCAGGTCTGTTGAGCGATGTGGTACTCCAAGATCCTTGGAAACTCAGCAACGAAGCAGCTGGTGACATGGGTAAAGTTTGGTCCACGATAGGACGATCATCAATCATTGAAACCGTGGAAGACTGACGGGAGATTGGACTCTTTGCTTCTTCTAGCAGGACTCCGAGGGATCGCTGCTTCGTTAAAATCGAGGTATTCGACTTTTGGGTGGCGATGTTGGGCGATGAGCTTTGCCTTGAAATGGCGAAAACTCTGTTCGTTGGGGGCGGTGGAGGTGGATCAGAGGGACGGTTGTCGTACGCCCTGGTATCGATAGCACGATCTTCAGGAACCGTTGTCATCGAACCTTGACGAGACAGGGAACCCGGTGTTGATCCAGGACGGTGGATAGCAAAACCCGTAGGCGATGCAGCTCGGCCATTCAACGTCATTTTCGGGACGTCAAACGGACTAGTGGTCCGAGTAGGCGAGTCAGGCGATGAAGCTCCAGAGTTTCCAGATTTCTGTGGTTTGAGGTTGAGTTTTCTTGGGCGACTTGCCCCTGCTGGAGATGAAATTGGTTCTGCCAAGTTATGATCCTGAGGTCCCATCATGCTTGACAAATCTTTTTTTGATGGCGCAGGTGAGATGGTCAGAGGACTGGTCGTTCCATCAATCATTGGGAAGTCATCGCTCATATGTCGTGCCAATTTCTGACCTCTCTCAAGTGGCCCTTTCGTTGTCTTAAAGTTGTCTTTTTTTGCATTTTTTTCGATAAGCCTAGTCTCCGCTTTGAGAGATTTGTCTTTATCGCGTTTTTCTCTGTTTTTGTTAGGACTGTTGGCACTATCCTTATTTTTATCTTTTTCGGGAGCATCGAGACTCGGAGTCGATTTGGTCAAGGAAGATCGTCCCGTCAAACCCGAGATGATGCTGGATGGACGACTGAAGAATCCTTGCTTCTTCCCGGTGTTTTCTTTGGACTTCCTTTTCTTGTCATCGTCTCCGTCGTTTTCTTCTTCTACAGATTCGTTATCGTTATCACAACCTTCTTCTTCGTCGTCTCGATCCGAGGAGTCGCCATGCAGTTTCTGATAGATCAGAGTTGATGGCGCCGAAATAGAAGCTTTTAATGCCTCTTTTTTGAGGGCTGTTATAGTGCTTTTCATGTGACGTAGTAAATTCTCGTATTCTTTTTTCAAATTTTGCTGATCGGTTTTTGCTTTTTCTGCAATCAATAAAGCAGCGGTTGCCGTTTTTTGCAGCCTTTCCGCCTCCTGAAAAGATGTACGTGATGAAAATCGAACGTTTGGAAATAAGTAAAATACTTAGTATTCAGTATTTATCATATAAAATTAAAATGGCGTTCTGGACATCATGATGACCTATTCTAGTGGTTAAAATTAAAAGATACCTTACTCGTATTTCGGAAATTACGAATATCAAAATACTAGAAATACTTTAATGGCTGTACTGAAGAGATCTGTGCTCGTCTTCTGAAGCATTAGTAAGTTAAAAAAAGAGTTATAGATGCCATATAGGGACCTGCTAATTGCATGATTATCATGGCTATTGGTAGTTTAAGTATGACTACATGCATCCAGACTACATGCGGTAGAAACTCTAGGTCAGGTGTAAATCTCAATTTTCGCGGATATTAAAATAATCTAATTAATGGTAACTTATGGTAATCAAACCATTACCGACCACCAAATTTAATGCTAATTTTTTTAGGTTTCAATTATTTGTGTGGGTAAATTTTAAAACTCAAAACGTAAACCAGTATTTTTTCAGTTGAAATAATTTGTTTCTAAATGATTGTCCACTGATTGCGCTTTTGATAAAAAAAATTAATTTGCGTTTTTTGAAATGATTAGTAAATTGATTAGTAACACGCGTGAATTAATTTTGACTTGATTATTTCTATCGCTGGTTTATTATTGAAGGTTAAGAAAACGACAATAAACAGTTGAACTTTCTGGAGAAAACTTCAAAAGCTTCTTTAGTTGACGCTGAGGAAGATGAGAGTGGAATGTCCTTTAAGATTATATATGGCATGGTATCATTTCACTCTAAAGTATTATTTCACTCGTAAGTCATTTATTCATTCAAAAGGCATTACTTCACATGAAAAGAATTAGTTCACACAAAAATCATTGCTGCACCCGATAGTCGAAGTTCTTATCATAAATTCGTTAATTTAATGTTGAGTCCTTATTTCATTCCTGAGTCGTTATGTCACATAAAATTCGTTATTTCACTCGTCTGTCATTATTTGGCTTAAAGTCATTTCTTGGCTTGATAGTCATTATTTTTCTTGGAAGTCATTCACTCTTGGAAGTCAATATTTAAAGTAAATATTTGGCTTGAAAGTCATTATTTGGCTTAAAAGTCACTATTTGGCTTGAAAATCATTACTTGGCTTGAAAGTCATTATTTTTCTTGGAAATCATTACTTGGCTTGAAAGTCATTATTTTTCTTGGAAGTCATTATTTAAAGTAAATATTTAGCTTGAAAGTCATTATTTGGCTTAAAAGTCACTATTTGGCTTGAAAATAATTACTTGGCTTGAAAGTCATTATTTTTCTTGGAAGTCATTACTTTTCTTGGAAGTCATTCACTCTTGGAAGTCAATATTTAAAGTAAATATTTGGCTTGAAAGTCATTATTTGGCTTGAAAATCATTACTTGGCTTGAAAGTCATTATTTTTCTTGGAAATCATTACTTGTTTTAAAAGTCTTTATTTGACTTGGAAGTCATTATTTAAAGTAAATATTTGGCTTGAAAGTCATTATTCGACTTAAAAGTCACTATTTGGCTTGAAAATCATTACTTGGCTTGAAGGTCATTATTTCTTGAAAGTTATTCCTATATAACGAAAGTTATTATTTCCAAAAAAGGCGCAATTCTCCTTCGATATTCATTTCCACAAGAACTAAACAATGATGAATTGGAATAGTAGTAATCGACTCAAAAATCAATTTAAAAGTTATGTTGGTGTACAACAAGAAAACATATCAACGCCATGCTACAGGAACATAGAGAATAATTGTAAGCAATTTTCTGGTTGTTCTTATGCCGTGTTGAAATCTGTCACGTCGTCAAAATTAAAATCCATTAAAACTAGTTAAAGAGTTCGGAATAAGATGGGATTATCTAGATTTTAAACATTTTTTATCTAAGGTTACAGGGTTTTTCTCCTTCCGATTACTACAATTCCAGCTTCGAAAGCCTCTCATCCTCAATTCTTTACTTGCAGATAAATAAAGAATTCAACTTCTTTTTCTTCCTCAATTCCAAAATCATCCTTCACTCATTGTTGCCAGAAAATGATGATAATTCCATATTCATTTGGAATCTGGAATTATCTTTACAAGTAAGTAACGAATTATCTTCATCACAAGGTTAAGGGGAATTATGCTCCTCACAATTAATAATGGTCTTCTGAATAATATGCCTTGTATGCCTTTAATGAGCGATAATATTTTAACCTGACTAATATTTAATAAATAATATTTTAATCTGACAATCCGTTTTCTTTCCATATGCATTATGCATTATTTTCAAAATTCACTAGCACATGCTGTGTTAAAATAGCAGTTTGTATCATGTTGAACATTATCATTCTGGTATCATAACTACAGTAACAAAGTTTATCACCAGGCAGTATTGTTAGTAAAATGAATGATAACAACAAACTATCTACTTATAATAAGCTTATAATTGCATCGTGCTGCTCAGTGTCCACAAAATTATTCATACAATATACTGGAAGTCTGTTGTCCAGGGTGCATATTAGTTCTCAGTTGAAGTGAGGTCTTCTATAACAATTTACTCTAAGTACAGTATATAACACTAATAATGAACGTACTGTCAAGCAACAAATTTGAAGATTAATGTTAACAAGTGAATAGATGAAAATACGCAATGCAGTAGTCTACCTTATCAACGTTAGTAGTGTAAAAGCCACTCAACTTGAAGTTAAATACGTCGCGTTAGTGGAACAATCATGGCATCCAACTTGAACTAAAGTCAGGCATGTGCAATACCTTCATAAGCCACTCGACTTGAAGTTAAATACATCGCGTTAGTGGAACAATCATGGCACCCAACTTGAATTAAAGTCAGTCAAATGCTATACCTTCAACGAGGAAGAAACTTGCTCCTTCATTTTTGCAGCTTCTTGGGATACGATGGAAATAGCGTCGTGCAGTTTTTCCTTGTCTTTCTTGACGCTCACTAAGCTCATCTTAACAATACTTAGGTCTGATTTCGAGTCTTCAACTTCCTTTGTAATCTCATTAACGGCTTGATCTAATTCAACAACATGTTTCTGCAGGTTACGTACAGCTTCCGTGAACCTGGCCATGTCAGGTTGTGACAACCCCTTCCTCTGGCGCTGTTGGTTGGGCCCAGACTTTGTCCCCTGCTGATGTGGGAGACGGCGGGGCATTGGTCCAGCCTCAGCATGCGGTTGAGGACCTTCACAGCTGTTATCCTCGCTGTACGAAGACACGAACAGTTCCATGTCCGGTTGCGACTTGCGATTCATCGTTTTTTCTTCTTGTGTTGTGCCAAAAGGTGAGCTTATCTGGTTTTGATTCTGCATTAGGGATGTTTGGTAATGCATCTGCTGGAGATGCTGCTGTAGTTGGTTTCGTTGATGCATTTGAAATGGATTCTGTGTAGTTCCTGGTACAAACTCCATGCGGGATTCCATTCTAGGTGGAAGTGGTGGCGGGATACCACCAGTGCTTAGGTTTTGGTTCGAGAATCCGTCATCAATATAAATTCCCATGCTGTTGTCGTCGAAAGAAATGTTATTCCCAAAAGCTACTGACTGCGGGTCGTACATGAGGGCCATTTCATCGTAGTCTTCAGGCTCGGAGTAGCGGTAGCCCATGGCTGGCTGGGAGTTGCGTGATGGATGCGCTAAGTCGTCGTCACCAAGCAGGTCCAAAGATCGGTTCAACCACGGCACGAAACTGTTAATGATAAGAAAATAATGATTTCGAGAATAAAAAACTGATATTAATAAATGGTTTAATTGTTACCAGATTAAAAGTCGTCAGAAATTGGGTCAACTGTAATGAATAGTTTAATTGTTACCAATTTAAAAGTCGTCAGAAATTAGTTCAACTGTAATAAATGGTTTAATTGGTACCAATTTCTAAGTCGTACAAAATTGGGTCAACTGTCAATAAGTTTCTGATTTCAAGGGAATCGAAGTGTGCTTAAACCGGCTGAACGATTGAAACAGCCAATATCCATTTAACTGCAATCTGCAGATCAAATTTTCTATATGTTTAAATGATGTCTAGTGCTTTGAAAACAACTGTAAATTTCATAATATCATTTTATTAGTTCCATTGGGTGTACGCAAGACGCTGAACCATTTTGACGAGGTCCGTTTACATGGAGGAAATTATAATTTCATTTAAGGCTCTGAGAGGCAAAGTAAATTTTGCTATTCGTGTGTCTCTGAACGGATTTTAAAAATAATGTTTTCTAATTTATCAAGTAAAGAATATTTTAAGTGGTGCATTTGAGAATTTAGTGTCACAACTCATTGCATTTCTTGCAGCCGCAAATGTGCGAAAAACCAAAGCTGCCCACTTTAGCGTTTTTGGCAAGAACTACAGACCATACTTGAATAATAAATGTTGTCCATAAATTATTCTCAATGTCGGCGCTATTAAATTCGGACCTAATTATATAGAATTTAGTTCAAGAATTTAAGTAATTATTTTTCAGAAGTCTGATAAAACTCAATTGTATGCAAGGTTGCAACAGTTTCTATTATAATCTAAATATTATAATTAGGATTTTTACTATAATAATTCAATCTTTGTAGATATCAAGCCTGGGCAGTTGAGAATGACTAAAGTCATGATGACGTCACAGACAAACCCTGACACGACGGTTGTTCACTAACGACCTCACCGACGACTTCTTAACAAGCTGGGCTTCGTGAACAATTCGAGCCAATTGTTCATACTGATTAATGAAAAATCGGGCACTGCGAAACTCTTTCATAGGTAAGAAATATTTAGATCTTATTTTTAGGTTAGTTTATGAAATATTTTTAGATTGAGATGAGCGGTGCCTCCTCAGTTAGCTATGATCTAATCAACTAATTTTCTAAATTGATACGATATCAAAGGCGTCTTTCAAAAATTTATCAAAACTATAATTATTCAATGCCGGTTTGTGTATTCTAAATACATGATGAAAATAGTCATTAGTTTAATATTTATCTGACACCGAAAATAGTTCTTCGTCGCAGAAATAGTTATGATACATTATAATAACTTCATTGATCAAATTATTCTCTAGCAAACCTAGATACTTAATCATTATTTACGAGGCCGACCATCATTCTCGCAAAAGCTATTAATCTGTTTGGTCAAATACTGGCACCGTATCGGCCCAATCACGATTCGCTAGCAACAGTTTGCTGCGTTTGTTGATGCCATTACCTCATTGAACTAAAAAAATGGACAATAATGATATATAAATCTTTCCTTATTGCGTGAATAAATTATAACTTATCTACACTTACTAACATACTCCACCTCGACGAACTTTCACCTGGGAAAATAAGAATCTTGATGCAGACAGCGAAGTATGGCCATTTATGTCGATATTTCGACTACCTAACTTATGTCGTGCCATGCTCTACAGACTATTGATTGATTATGCTAAATACTGCAGGATACTAAATTATAAATAACAAAAAAGTCATTAACGACAATTCACGTTGAAAGGAAAGTTAAAACACACAAAAAGCTCTGTAATTTCATTTATCAAACGGTACCGGGAAAATGCAGGCAAAGGTTCAGGTAACTAATATTGAAGACCAGTGGAGTGCGGGTAGAGAGAACGAAAGCAAAATATATCAACAATTAGAAGAAGCACTATATGAATTGAAAAATTTATTTGTCAACGACCTCTTGGTAAATTTTATTATAATAAACGTAAAATAAATAAAAAACTTTTTATTAAGAACGTTGAAAATTTTTACATCCTCGGTCATTTTCTAGCAATTTGTACAAAAAGGCTTATTGGTATTTCCATCGTTTGAATGAAATTTGAAGGATATTAAAGAATATTCCTGTGAATAATGAATTTAATAAATGTTTAAGCTCCAAACAAAGAATTTGTAGGATATTACATTTCGAAAAGAAACTACGGTTTTTTTTCCGAAATATGTACAAAAAGTACTCAGGCTTCAAAAAAGTAATAACGTATTAGACGTGCATCGTACACTCAGAGAAATTGATTATAATTTGTCCAAATAACGATGCACATTTGCCCTTATGTGGGTACGCACAAATGCCACACACAGTAATAAGTGTGTCGCTATTTTGACAACATGACTCGTGCATTTTTCTGAGTGTGAAATTTAAATTTAATTCAAATTTAAATTTAAAATTAAAATTTAAAATTTAATTTAAAGTTAAAGAAATTTAAAGAGTCGTTTGCTGACTCTTTAAATTTCGTACATAAAATTAGATGCGCTCCATAATTTGCAGGTTAATATAAATTACGATTTCTTACTTAAATTGAACAAATTAAGTTATCAAGACTTTTTGTGGGGAATCATGCCGTTTAATTATCACGCTATGAGATCTACAGTTTAACACGTTGACTACGAAGTGGTACATATGCGTACCACGAAATGTATTTCTCCAGGACGTAGTGGTACTTAATTCAGGTTGCCTAAAATTGGCTAAATCCGAGAACAAAAAAAGGCCAAAAAGGCCGATAACTCAATATATACTAGTTTATTTGTAGGTTCCGCTATAAAAATTCCATTTATTTTCTTTTTGCAGTATTTAAAATTTAATTAGGAAGTACCCCTATCATAAATTTTAGCCGGCCAACGCAATGGAGAAAAACTGAATCACGGAATTTGTCCGTAAAAAATGACCGTCTGGCAACCCTGCTTAAAAACAGTACAAATAATGAAATAATAGTACAAGATGAAGCAATCGTAGTCAACGTGTTAAGGGAATACAAGTTAAACACCATCAGTTCATGCAAGGCATTAGGAACAAAATGTCGCTAGTATAAGAGAGAATAACTAATGAAATAATCAAATTACTGCGCATGGCAAGCATATCTTACAAAAAACAACAAATGCATTTATATGGATAGGACATAAGTTCTAAAAGTAACAAATAACTTACAGGTAAAAACGCGATCAAACAAAAACATCGACTATTTACAAAATCAATCCACTGAAAATAAATTTGCTAAGGATGAAGTTTTTGCCAAAAAAAAAAAACTTTTTGTTGCCAATTGCAATCTTCTTAAAATTCGTTACCCGAATAAAACTTCCAAATTAAACCATTTACAAATTTGCTGCAAAGACATTAAAAATTACAAGAATAGTATGTTCAATGTCATTTTTCGTATAATATCCAATTTTTGAATTCAACCTGAATTATTAAAGTGCTTAATTGTTCATTCATAATTTACTGTTCATTCATTTATTCATAATTCAGTTTGTTTTATTGACTAGGATTTATATAAATTTTCTTTATTCATATTTAAAATTTATATCAAGTTCTTTCACAATTCAATTGATGCTCGTAGGTTCTTCGAGCATCACCAGCGCCAGTATCACACAAGTCACCCCTCCCCGGTCGTCTGGAGGTGTGTTGAGGGTGTTTGCGTGTGTGCAGGAGGCTGGGGTACTTCATTGTTCATTCCACCCCATCGTTATCTTCAAATATTATTTAGGGCATGTATGCCGCCTTTTTGGCGCATTTTCTCATTTATGGAAAAAATGCCCTATTGTGCTCGCCATGTTTGTCTGTCTGTCTGTCTGTCTGTCTGTCTGTCTGTCTGTCTGTCTGTCTGTCTGTCTTATTGAAAGATAACTAATGAGCCAAATACTAATAATTTACGTCCCATAAACTAAAAATCCAGGGCCCATACTTTAAAAAAAAAGTTAAGAGATCGTAAGTTCATCAGCCAATCATTGACGGCCTCTCAAGCAAAATCCACCAATCATAGACAGACAAGAAAATAGAGCGTAAGTACTTACGTTCACTTAGCGAGTTTTGAAAGTATGGCCCCAGTATATTACTACAGCTAGAAGACGTTTTATTCTTCGCAAATGCGTTGAGCTTCGGAGCTTTAAGAGGATCTTACTTTTTCACTTAAAATTTAATAAAAAAGTTGTACAAGTTTTTGCAACAAATTTTCCTCGAGGGATTGTGGCCATTTCACAATGAAGTATGGATAGCGTCTGCGTAAATTTAGCTCACTGTTCTTTGAGGACGGTTACAATGCTTCGCTTCAAAGTTTTCATCCATGCTAGATCGACAATAATTCGAACCTATTTTGTTTTCTGTATCCAGTATCTCTCAAGGGAGAGATCTAATTGTCAAAAAAGAGCTAAGTATTTAATTATGCTACTAATGTCATTATCTGCGCAATTGACGAATATTGGCTAAACCGATCATTTTCTTGTTCTCGCTCAGACAACACACATTCTAAAACATACGAGCATTCACTAATGTTGTAAGGTTCACCATGCAACTCCTCCTATCGTGACCTACTCTCCTCATACACCTGGCACCTATACTTTCAAAAAAAGTTTAAGAGATCGTAAGTTCATCAGCCAATCATTGACGGCCTCTCAAGCAAAATCCACCAATCAATCATAGACAAGAAAATAGAGCGTAAGTACTTACGTTCACTTAGCGAGTTGGATATTAGTCGAATGCTGTTACTTCAACGCTGTTAGCGATAATTTCCAGCTGAACAAAACAGTATGATTACTTTACACTGTTAGAAAAATCGGTGAAAAACGGTCCCACTGGCATTCTAGTGGCCGGTCGCCCCGTGAAAATAAACTGTTTCGCCGTTTATCTCACAGATGTTTCACGGATTTCTAGTGTTAAATTAGAATAAAAACGGTGCCTCGATGTTTCTTTTCACGTGCCGACCGGCCGCTGAAACGCCGGTAATACCGTTAACGGTAAATTTTCTAACAGTGTACTTTATCGTTAAATGCCACTCTACATAGTGACAGCTGAATTAATTATATTACAATTACCTAGATCCTAATGTTAAAAACTTTGGCAAAGGCGAAAACAAACACACTCACAATATGACACAAGAAGAAGATTTTTTGCATTTCCCACATTCATCAGGATGTTCATCGACCAAACTACCATCAGTTTTCAATCGAATTCTCCTGAACGACGTCAACGTTTTACCGAACCTCGAAAGTTTTGACTTAAATTCGCCTGGAGAGTTTAGTCTCCCCTTGGCCGATTTATCTTCGACTAATGTGACCTTTTTCTTACTTCCCGTTTTCTTAAGCTTGTGTTTTGTAAGATCTTCGTCTGCTACATCAGATCGATCGTACGCAGTTGGACATTTAAAAAATAACGCATCGTCGATGTCGTCAAAAGTGTCGGTTTCAATAATTTCTATTTGCGTAATGGATGGTCGAAAATCTTCTGAGGGATTGACATCGGAACTGTTATCGATGGCGGTTTTTGGACGTAAATTCATTTGCGACGCATCGTTCATGTTTGTTTTAGTTACAACAGCTGAACGGTCAATATCTACTGTGAAAACTTTACCACATTTCTTACAGATTTCTACTTTTCCTTCTATTAAATCATCGTCTAGATTGATTTCATCAAGTTTTTCCCCATTTAAAACATCTTCTTCAACGTCAGTTAACTTAGATTTAATTTCGACATTTTCTACAATCATGCGGTTGTTATCATGAGCCGTTTGACTTAGCATGCAGCATTCACTTCCTACATGACATGTCACACAAAGCAAACATGTTTGGCAAAAATTACGTTGAGCTTCACTGGTTTGGTTGGGTTCACGTGAAAATTCACTCGACACTTCTAGACTCGCCTTACCTTCATGACAACCATTCTCCGTGCAGGGTTTGACGCTGTCTCCTTCGCTTGAACTATTTACTTCTTCTAATTTCAATGAAACATTGTTATTATCATTTCTATCTGACTTTACGCCTACGGTTCCTAGAACTGACTCATCTCTATCTTTTGAAGTGTTACTACAACTACAGGAATCACTGCCTTCATTCCTCTCGCAACATATGTCTACCTTTGCTTCAGTCGCATCGTCTAAATTTTCGCTCTCCTCTTCAATACACAAATTTACCTTCGCCACTTCGTCCCCCTTTGACAACCTGGTCTTGCATTGACTAAAATAATTCCTTGAGCTTTGGTCTCTCCCTGTACCCTGATCTTTCCCTGTACCCTGATCTCTCCCTGTAACCAGATCTCTCCCTGTAACCAGATCTCTCCCTGTAACCAGATCTCTCCCTGCAACCTGATCTCTCCCTGCAACATGGTCTCTCCCTGCACCCTGATCTCTCCCTGCAACCTGATCTCTCCCTGCAGCCTGATCTCTCCCTGTAGCCTGGTCTTTCCCTGTAACCTGATCGCCCCCTGTTACCAGATCTCTCCCTGTAACATGATCTCTCCCTGTCACCAGATCTTTCCCTGTTACCAGATCTCTCCCTGTCACCAGATCTCTCCCTGCAACCTGGTCTCTCCCTGTCACCAGGCACAGACTGAATCTACTTGGGTCACCGCTGCAAGGCCCGCCGGCCGACGCCCGGTCTGGCAGGGCTGAGGCTGACCTATTCGAGGGGTCATCGCGCCCTGACGCGTCAGGGGGCAAGGCGAGGGCTGAGAGGGAACTGGCGCGGTGCTTCATGAGCAGAGTTCTACGGTGCTGCGGCATGCGGCGACCTGAGCGGGGAATGCAAAAATACATTGAATACTATTTTAAAATAAGCATACAACTACTCTTATCTTTCACCATCACAGCCAATGTCGTGCCGAAATCTTCTGTGCTGAGGCATGCGTCGACCTGAGCAGGGGAATGCAAAAATATAACTCCGTTCTCACTGCAGTGAGTGACAGAGAGCGTATTTTCTCGTCGACGAAAACGTGAAGTCACGGACAGACGGACAAATAGACGGACGGACAGACAGACGGACTGACGGACTGACGGACTGACGGACGGACAGACGGACATGGGGAGCAAAATAGTGGAATTTTTCCATAAATGAGATAATGCGCTAAAAAGGAATTAAATATTCTTCTAAAATAAGTAAACAACTACTCGTACTTTCATCATCACACACTGTCGTGCTAAAATCTGTGGTGCTGAGGCAAGTGCTTACCTAGGCAGTGAAATCTTTTTCAATCATTTACAAGGAAAGTTTATTAATTTGCTTATTTGAAGTAGTTTCCGTAACAATAAGGGGGCTAAACACTTGATCTATGTCCCAACTAGGCTGCTGCTTTTTGAAACCAAATTTTCGAAAAAAAATTTATGGTTTAGGAAAGCGCACGATGTAGATCTCCAGTTATCCACATCATAGAATAACGCGTCAATATTTGAAAAAAATTAACTGAAGTGAAAGAATTATATAAACATAATTACCAGCTGGTCCTTTAACGCGGTGTTTCGTGACGCTCTCGAGTTGCCCTGCGGTGACCACTTCCATGTCAGCGGCGTCTTCAGCGCCTTCATCATCGGCTTTCCTCTTCTTCCCGATTTCCTTCGATTTTCCCATATCATTCACGGGTTTTTCAGAATTGTCGGATGCGGATTTTTCAGATTTCGTATTTTGTTTTCGCCCAAGACTGCCAGACGGCGTCTGATCAGCTTCCGGTTTCTTGCGGCCGAGGCTGTAAAAATTTCGGGCGCTGTCGGTTGTTTCAAAAGATTCTGCATCTGCGGCTCGCGATCCGGCGGCCGGTTTTCGTCTCCTTAAAGAAGAATCCTGGGAACGGAGGTTTTCGTTATTTATTATTTTTTATTATTTATTATTAGTTGTTAATCCAGCTTTCAAAAAGCTCATCTACCCCACTAAAAATTCCAATTGTGTGTAATAAAATCAACGGTACAAGTTCTCACGTAATGTATTTTTGCGTCTCGAGAATTAGGTGATTTTTTTTCATACTGTAAATGTAAATTGAATTATCTTGAATATATTTGAATTTCCTAAATTATATCAAGTGTACAACAAATAAACATTTATTAATTTAAACATTATGTAACGAATCGATAATATTAATAGCTTCTAAAACTTCGAGCCGGATCGGCTATTGATCGTTATTGATCATGCAATATCATATTTAACCGTGATGCATTATGGGATAATGTTCAATTTGCTCCACCTATATTTTGACTCTCGTTAACTTAATTTGAGCGTAAATAATCCCTCTCAACATTAGTATTCCTGGAAATCATATTATGAGCAAAAAGGAATAATAGTATTTTTCTCCTAACCATTATAATTATCTATGATCTGGGTTAATAGAAGAATGAAAGACCCATGCTTCGGGTCCGTTGCTTGTACCTATGGAATTTCCTCACTAAATTTTGTTTATTGTTATCATACTCACGGCGACTTTAGGCTTCCTTTCATTGGAAGCTGCCCAGTCTTGGAGGTTTTCTTTGTTTTCGGCTGTTTTATTCTCGTCCGCAATTGAAATTACGTTTTTCCCTCGAATTTCCGCGTCATCTTTATTCGTTTTCTCATTTGTTATCAGAGTAATTTTTGGTGATGGCTTGGCGCTGGCTGATTGACGATTACTTGCGGCACCACTGGCTGGAAATCGAAAAGAATTCTACGTGGCTTGCTGTTTTAGTGTAAGCAGTCGTCATTAATTATGTATTCATTAATTAATACATTTTTCACTTATTAATACACCTGTCNACCCGTTTTTCACCGTTTTTTCTAACAGTGTACTATTATTATTAGTTTATTAGTATTAATTATTCTTCTTCAAATATAAGGCTCTACATAAATATTCTTTAATAATAGCATAACAGAGAATTAATTGTAGAGGTCCTGCTGCAGCTCAAAATAATTTATTTCAAGCCATGCAAAAACTAATTAATGAAGAAATACCAAAATAAAGTGAGTGATTACTCGGTAATTGTTGGGGTCATTTTACCATTCGCATTATTATTTTTTGGTTTAAGTTCAAATAAATTCAACTTGTGCTTTGATTCTGAGTAAACCTCAACACTGAAAAGCTCAAAAATAGGTCGTCTAAACTAGTCTGCTCCAATGTAGATTATCAATTTATAGGTAATTGGAATATATTTACTAAATATAATTGTTTTGTAAACGAAAGAAAAATATTATTCTTCATAAATACTCTTAAAAATTAAGATGAACTTAATCTAATAATAGAAAAATTACATATTACTATATATTGCGATATTTTATGTATTATAATTAAATAATAAAATAACATATGTAATAACATCGACGCTATCATTGGTCTATATATATAGCTGTTGTTACCGAGCTTTGTTACAGCTTCTTTGTATTACACGTCAGCGCCAGGCGACCAGCTTTTTTTGTATTAATGTATTGATAAAAACAGCTGTGAGGACAAATAATAGTAAATGCTTACGTGGGTTAATTATAACAATGAATTGATGATAACAAAACTCTGGGTACGAATAGAACGAAGAACAATAAATGCTTACATGGACTAAGTGTGGCAGCAGCAGCATCAGCAACAACAACTGACGTAGTTTTGTTATTGTTTCTTATTTGATCAATGGATTTCTTTAGGATTTTAATCCATATTCTAATTATTAATTATTAATTAATAATTAATTGAGATATATTAATATTAATTAATTAATTAATTGAGTCTGTTAATTGAGAATTGAGAATTAATTGGGTCTATTAACTGAGATTTACGGTATATTATCTATTAGAAAGATATTCTTACAGATACCGGTAATGTCAAATTTAGGCTGAAATGATAAACAAATTGGCTTAAATTGGATAGCAATTGACAGCATTTCAACCCGTTCCTTAAATATTCTAAATGATTTATTACTTACAGGATCAAAAAAGGTTTTATCTTGCGATGTTATCACGAACGCGTGGCTGGCCTTTTTGGCCTCTTTGGCCCCAGCCTCGACCACCTGTAAAAAATCATGCTTTTCAACCATAATAATTATGATTGTTATTTGTGACACTAATAATAATGTGTTAATCAATGGAATAATATGTGAAATTTCTGAACTTCTGATATGAATGAGTTAGACTTAGAATTATTCTTTATTCAATATACATATTTATTCACTGGGCCACCCTGCGCAATGGTTACAGTTCATGAGCTCACCAACGTAGCATCACTATAAAGCTCCTCATTATAGCATCACTATCAAACGCACCACCATAGCATCACTAACAAGCTCACCATCATATTATCCCTTATTATCTCACCATTATAACATCACTATCATGCTCACCTGGTCGTAATATTCGAGGTTGATCACTCCACTGCCTTTATCAGCACCTCTAGAGTCGTCGCGTTCGTAATAGAAGAGTTGGCCCTTGACTAGCACGCAATATTTTCTTTTCCACGGATGTGGAATGTAAGGAAACGATCGCGAGGATAACTTCTGTAAATATCCGCGCTTCAGCACATCGGTGTGGCTTTTTGCGTTAGGCACTTCCTGTAACCAGAAAATAATTTTTTAAATATAAAAAGGCAGAAAATAAAGTATAAAAAGGCAGAACATAAAGTATAAAAAAGGCAGAACATAAAGTATAAAAAGGCAGATGTAAATAAATAAAAAAAATGTTGCATTATGTTTGGTATAAAGTAATGCAACAATTCTTCAACTTAAACTAGTGAGGCATTGAATTAAGAATAAATTAATGTAGCAAGGTCTTCAATATACTCGTAAAATAGTGTGATATTGTCTTAGAAGAAAATGATGCAGCATTGTTTTAAAGATGAATAATGTAGCTAGACATGATTTTTACAAACTTGAGGCTCGCAGACATAATGATCACAGACATGAGATTAGTAGACATGATGTTATCAGACATATTGATCACAGACATGAAATTAGCAGACAAAATATTAGCAGACTTGAGTTGTAAAAACATGAATCTCACCGAAAAAAGATTCGTAGACACAAGGCTCTCGGTCATGGGTTGATTTAAATTACCAATAATTGAATTTAGTCGATACTTTCATGATAATATAATGAATAATTTTTTGATTATTGATTTGAAATATATTTTATAGGAGTAGATCGCTAATCAATTGTATTTATTTAATTTCGGTTAAAAACTGAATATCATTTATATCAGTCAGGCGAAAAAAGACGAAGAATAGACTAGAAAATAAGAATATACCAATAATTAGTATTTCTTTGACTGCGGAAATGTATTAATAATCTCATTAATAGCTGAAAACATTAATAGCAATGCGTCACATTGATCTCATTAATGGATGAAAAACTGAAATATTGAACTCATTAATAGCTGAAGCACTAATATTAATCTCATTAAAGGATGGAAACTGGATGAAAGAACTGCAATTTTGATCTTATTAATGCTCAAAAAATATATAATTGATTTCATTATTGGATGGAAAAATACATTGTAGATCTCATTAATGCTTGACAACTGCAATATTGATCTCATTAATGGCTGAAGAACGGCAATATTGATCGCAATAATTGTTGAAAAACTGACATATAAATTTCATTAATGGAATTAGCAATGCTTTATTGACTCATCAACGGCTGAAAACTGTAAAATTTTCGTCGCGGTTGAATTAGCAGCCGCGCAAGCAGGTCAAGGCGGGTGACACACCCGGCTCCTGTAGCCGCGACGCGCGCATGTATCGCGCACCGCACGCGATACATGACGGCTTAATTTTATTAATTAATCAATTTCCGGTTGAATTTCCGTTTGCGGTTACATTTCTAAGTCATTGAAGCGTGAGAGTCAGCGCCTAAATTATTTTATTATTAAATACAAACATCAACTAATATTTACTTCCACAAAATAAATATTTATAAAGCATTATTTTTCAGTTGTATCGCGGATAGCCGTTCAGAAAATAGTTAAATGTTATATCATTATATTATATTATCGCTGATTCGAAAAGTCTGTGAATATCAGGAGATTGTTAAATTAAAGTTAACAAATTTATATCAAAGTGCATCCGAGAATACAATTATATTTAATCCTAAGTGCGTCCCAGAATACGATTCAATTTAATCATAAGTGCGTCCCAGAATACGATTCAATTTAATCCTAAGTGCGTCCCAGAATA